TTTAACTGTTCTTTATTAATATCTTTGCGGAATTCTTTGGGGCTATCTTTTATACTCCTAATTGTTAATTGAATTCGTTGGTTCTGTTCTTTTTCTGTGCTTTTGTTTTCTCATTCATCCAAAATTAGCAAAATTTTTTCTTTTATTTGATTAATTTCTTTTTGCTTATTATCTTGTTTGAGCTTTTTTCATAATTCGGAAGTAAAAATAGGGTCGGTATCATAAAATAATTGGTCGTTGCCTACTCCAATATTGCTCATAAAAAATTTAGTAGTATTTGGTTCTGTTTGTTCTACTAATTGCCGGTATTTCTTATTTATTCGCTCATTAGACAATAAATAAGGTATTAATTTAATTTTATTTTGTTCACAAATATAACTAATTAATAAATCTTTCTTAATTTCCTGTGCAAATTCTTCGGCAACAAAAATATCGCTATTAGGATAAAGTAAATTAAAACATTCGAGGGAAAATTCCACGCCGGCTTCAGTGAATTCTTTCAGCCATTTTAAGAAAAAATGTCTATTGCGTAAATAATTTTTGCTTTTTTCGTTTTTTAAGCTATTGATAAATTCTTGGTTTTTTTCTTCATCTTCAATAATATTTTCTATTTGTTTATTTATTTCTTCATCTTTTTCTTGGGTCTTTTGCTTAGCAAGTTCTAATTGTTTGCTTAAATTATTGATTTGTGTTTGTAATTCTTGTTCGTTAGCACCTTTTTCGTGTAACTTAACATCTAAAAGATTAATTTGTTGCTCGCGTTCTCTGATTTCGCTTTGTAGATGTTCATAATTGACAGTTCTATCTTTTAAATCATGAACTTCTTCGCGTAGTTCATTAACTCTTTCTTGTAAACTTCTTGCCTTTTCTTCTTCGCGAGCCAATTTTTCAGTTAATTCTAAAATTTTATTTTGTAAGTTACTAGATTCAAAAGTTAAATTATTGTTTAAACTTGCTCGGTTATTAGCAATTAGTTCATTAAGAACGCTTATTTTATTTTCTAATTCTTGAATTTTGTCTGAGGTAATTGATTCTTCGCCACTTTCTTGATTCGTTAAATTACTAATCCTTCTTTCCAATTCTTCTCTTTTGGCTCTTTCTTGCTGAATTTGGTTCTCCAAGCTTTCTATTTGTTCCGGTGAAGTTGATTGTTGCGAAGTTTGTTGGCTTAAATTTTGTTCTAATTCTTGAATTTTTGTTTTTGTAGCTTCTAATGCTTGACTTATTTGATTTATTATTTCTAATTGATTTGAGAGGTTTTCAATTTGGGAGGCAAAAACTCCTTCATTATTTTTTGTTTCATTAATTTTACTTTCTAATAAACTAATTTTATTTTGTAGACTATCAATGTCGTTACTTTCAGATAATTTTTCGGTTAATTTTGCGACTTCTTCTTTTAGTTTTTTGAATTCTTGAATATTTTCTAAGCGATTTGGAATAAAGGTTCAAATTTGACTATTATTAAAATCAAAATCTCTAATTAAGAAATAAAGAACAGAGGAATTTTCAGTTAAATTTAATAACAATTCTTGCTCTTGAACAGTAGT